TTTCCAAGCAAAATGGCATTACATGTTTGACTTGCCTTGGAGTAGACATGTAAATCAATTATGAATATATATTTCCAGCAGGCCTTACATTTTAGACAGAGTATATAATCTAATTTTAAAACATCTTTATGGACAGCAGTGGCTCTATGACCAAGCTGTATGCGCACTCTTTCTCTCCTCCCCCTCCCCATATGTAAGCACAAGAAGGAAAATCCATCATCCTCTGAGGAAATCTATCTCACTTTCAGACAGATCTTACAATAAGTATGTTATTCTAATGCTTTGATAGAATCACATTCCTTGTTATTTGGATCCACTGTTGCATGTTCTAGTCTTTGAAGCAGCAGTAAACATTTCATCCATTGAGATTTATAAAGGTGGCTTTCATGTCATCTCTCAGTCTCCACTTCTCCAAACTAAACCTACCCATCTCCCTAAATTGTTCCTCATAGGGCTTGGTTTTCAGATCTCTGATCATCTTGGTTGCCTTCCTCTAGATACGAACAAGTAAATATCCTTATTATTCATATCTTGAATGGAGGTGCCAAGAATTGGATACAGCATCCTAGGTAAGCTCTGAACAAAGCAAAATAGAGTGGCACCACTACTTCCATTGTTCTGGACACTTGTGTTTGCTCCTGTCCTTCATATCTGACAGTTTTACCAAAATTGGCAAAGAGTGATAGAGCTACTATGTCATAAAAAAATTCTAACAGTAGAATTAACTTCTGTGTGAACTAGGAAATCCAGTGAGTTGACTCAAACCAGAGTGAAACCTGAATGAGGTAATAAAAACAAATTAACAAATTGTTTTCATGCCCTAGTATTTCTGCATACCTGAGGTTCCCCCATGGGTGTTCAACAGGCATGGGCAAACGAAGGCCCGGCGGCCGATGCAGCCCCCTGGGCACTTATCTCAGGCCCTCTGAGGTAAGTTCCCAGGGCATAAGTACATGGTGGCTCGCCATGTCCTTATGCCAAAAAGATGCAAGAGGAAGGCACGCAGCAGCTGAGAGACCTCTAGAGCGCTGTCAGACAACGCATGTCTTGTCCTCCTCCCAGCCTAAAGATGGTGTAGCGGTTCCATCCTTATGCCAAGAGGACAGATCAAGGAAGTCACGTGGTCAGCTGAGAGCCTTCTGGAGCACTCTCAGCTACTGCCTGTCTTGCCCTCCTCGTGGCATAATGCCAAGAGGACAGCCTAAGGAACAGGGGAGGAAGATCAGGGGAGGGTGGCTGGGGCAGTGGTCGCATGTCTCACCTTCCTCCTGGAATAAAATGGGGCAAGCAGCCCTGTCCTTATGCTGGGAGGACAACCTGAGGATGACCCAGGCCTTGCCCTAGCCCCTCCTGACCCTGCCCTCTCCCGGCCCTTGCCCCTCGCATGCCTGCTCCCAGCAAGTGAATTGCTCCCCTCCCTCCCAGCCTGGCCCTTGCAGCTGGGCCTGCAATGTGGCCCCAAGGCAAAAAAAGTTTGCCCATGCCTAGTGTACAACATTCTCATTTTATTTCAAACATCCTCTATTTCCTTTTTTTAGTTCCTAAATCTATGAGCTGGTAGATAGCAAATTTAGCCATCCCTTATGGATAAACAAATAAAGAATAGCCCAGGGAACCTGAATAGAGATAGCAATCAGTACAAATAGTATTATTTATTTTATTTGCAGTATTTGTATATCACCCTTCTCAACCCCAAAGGAGACTCGGGGTGGTTCACAGTGTTGTTAACAATTCAATGCTAAAGTTTGGTGAGAATACTATTTGTACTGCCCTAAAGTTATCATATACATAAAAGATTTGTGGTGACAGCATCTGAGAAGTATAGTAAGAAAAACAGAGCCAGGGCCATATACGCCTCAAGTAGTCACCTTCTAGATAATATGTAATTGATTTAAAGTTAATATCTAGGTAATGGACATTGTCTTTTGTCCTGTCTTTTCCTCTTGTTCTGATTCTTGAGAAAAATAATCTTACTCTTCTATAAACAACCCCATTTACCGTATATTCCGGCATATAAGACGACTGGGTGTATAAGACGACCCCCAACTTTTCCAGTTAAAATATAGAGTTAAGACGACTCCCATGCATAAGACTACACCTGCGTATAAGACGACCCCTGACTTTTGCAGAGATTTTCTTGGGTTAAAAAGTAGTCTTATACGCCAGAATATACTGTATATAAATGCAAAAGGTTTTTTTTAAAAAAAAATTAACTGGATTACATATCTAGTTAATTATACCCAACCTAATATAAGTTTCTAGTAGCAGGAGCTTTAAAAAGTGATTGGTCAGCAGAAAGATCATTCTATTTATAATGCAGGAAAGTAGCAACACGCAAGATAAGAATATATATTTTTAATTCCAAGCAGAACACAGGATCTTTTCTTTCTGTATATAGTCCTAATTGATGTTTTGAAACTGAGGAAGAGATGGATGTCCACGCTTTATTTAGCATGACAGAATATGCTGTAGTCCATACTGTGTGAGCATTCACAAGCTCCAATGCAAATTATTGTTCTTTCATATAATGACCTGAATCTTATTGATTTTCCTAATAAGACTAAAATAATTCAGTTAATGGGAAATTATACAAGTGTTTATTCAGCATTTCAAAACTGATTCAATAAGTCTCTAGCTGAAACTAACCAATAGAATCCAAGCCAATGGCTGAATACTAGATATTTTCTTAGCACCAATTTAATAGAAGGTGTTCCTGAGTGAATCGGCTTAGAATCATTATTATATGCCAGGACCGTGTTCTTAAAGCGACTTACAGTAAAATTAGTTTTAAAAATACAGACTCAAATATCATGACATAAAATTAAAGCAGAGTTAAATCTGAGTACCAAATATTTTCAAAATACATTGATTAAAAAGCCCAGCATTTACCCATTAAGTATCTCTCCCTCTGAAAGGGCTCAACTGTCAAAAACCCAAATGAATAAAAATAAATATTTGCCTACCAGTGGAAGAACAAGAGGCAGGGGGCCAATCTAGACTTCTTTGGGAATAATCGCAATCACTATTGAATTTTTGGAAGATATGATCAAAATTGGAAGTACAGCTCTGTGTTAAAACATACCTTGTGGATAAGCAGCTGTAAAAATGGAAAGGGTGGGTGCAATGGAAACAGGTCTGAGCTGGCTGACCTATTTCTTTGTCTTTATGCACTTACAGATGCATGAGGGAGATCCCAGGAGTGAGATTTCTCCATCATCTCGCTTAAACATTCTGCTGATGTGTAGCACTAAGCCAGCTGGCCTGTGCAGACTTTCAATGTTGTTCTAACAAAAGAGAATACTGATTCCAATCTGTTTTTTCACCTGCTAGTAGTAGATACCGCAAAGTGGTCTGTGGATAATGCAAGACAGAGCTAGGGTGGAGATGGAGTCCTGTTAGTTGCCCTAGACTTCCAATACAGGCTTAGTGTCCCTTCCTGTGTTGCCTAGTTAGACTGGAACTTCCTTGATGAAAGGAAGTTCGTGGTCTATCTCTGGCCTTTGAGAGATAGGACACTTCAGAGTTCTATTTTATCCTTTAATAGGTTACCAAAATACACTTGGTATGCATTTCTATTTCTCATTTTCTTCTACTGATGCTGGGAACCTTGAAAGTCTTGTATACGCATCTGGAGACAGTTTTAGATAGATGGGGATAATAAAGCCAAGAACAGGATTTGTGGTAGAGAAACTTTTGAGCTTCCTAACCAGTGCTGGATAAAGCTTTACTTCCCTTCAAGGACCAGATGTGCAGCTTTGGTCTTAAAATCCAGTGGTGCTGGTGGTTGCACTGATATCCAGGAAAAAGCTTTTATCAGTTTTGAGTGATCCACTACTTGTGCCTTTATTTAAAGAAATCAAACTTTGACATAGTAATATGTAGACTATAATTCCCATAACTTCTTATCACGTTCATGCTGGCTATGCTTCATGGGATTTCTAGCCTGAAACATTTACATGGTACTAGGTTGCCTATCATGCCTAGCTGAAGTAACTAGACACCTTTCCCTTTGTTGATGAGATTGGCTTTAAAGAAGGATAAGGAAATGGGCTGAAACATGTTCTAGAAGACCTTTCTTTTCCTTCTCCCTGTTTTTACACCTAGAGAATAAATTCATTAAACTATGTGTCTATACAAGATGTCCGGTTTCACAGCAGTATTAGAGAGACACAAACCTGAGTTATCCTCCAAAAGAGTCCTAAAGTGAGGTTGATGTGTCTGTTGGGGTGCTGATGCTGTGAGCTCCCACTTTTGCTGAATATATTTGTTCAAATAAATCATATATCACAAAAATTTCCATAAATGTTGAGTGATACCACGCAGTAAATGCCAAACCCAATGGTTTCACTCCTTGCACTGAGTGAAGTGCGATGCAAGATTGTAACTATAACTTTGAATGGATTCACAAAGTGAATAATTCTGTGTTGACCTTTCAACTCAAAGTACTTGGCATTAATTTAAAAAGATATGGAGCATGTAAGTTATTATAAAACTGATTATAAACATAGATTTAAAATGTCAAAAATGTAAGTCATGGGGATAAGAACACATAACTGAGCTGTTAGAAAATGCAGCCAAATTTGTACATGGTGGTACTTAATTTCATTTGCAAAAATAAGAAATGTCTCCCAGCACGACCCATATCAAACCAGCAAGTGAGGCTGTGACACAGAAGTGTAACAAGGGTCCTATATCTCATTTGCCAACAGCACATGCCTCCTACTCTCAGTGTAGCTGATGTTAAGTAAAGTAAGTTCAGGAGCAATTAGGATTGTGGCAATAGTGCCACAATCGTGACTACATAAGGATCATGAATACAAATCAATTTTGTATGCGTAACTTCAAGATATTGCACCCCAACTTGCACATTTTACAATACTCCCACTAGTCGTGTTGCTAAGTAGCAATGTTTTTTTAAAGCTTTTGTTTTTAAAAGTTTTTTTTTGTTTTTCAAATGAGCCTTGCATTTTATTCTCATAAGGCATCCACAGTTACAGTACCTCATTAATAGCAAGCTGTTCTCCGCCGCCACCTGGGTGGCCATAACGATGACTGGAACTTCGGAAGTCATCGTACAAGTCCTCCTCACTTCCCACATCATCACTAGACTTCTCCAACGATCCATCAGCAATTACTAAAATGACAAAAATATATTAAAGGAATTTAGACCAAATCTGAAATGAAAGGAAGCATGTAGTCAACATGTTTATATCAAGATTATTATAAACTGAAACTATCGTAACATGTATAACAGAAAAGTGTATGAATGTGCCTTTATGTCGCCTACTGACTTATGGTGACCCAAATATGGTTGTTTTTTTTAAAAGCAAGGAATATGGCACTCCAAAGTGGTTTTACCAGTTCGTTCCTCTGAAATATAGCCTACAACACCAGGTATGCATTGGTAGTCTCCGATCCAAGTACTAACCATGGCCTGTTAGCTTCTAAGATCAGATAGAATCTGGTGTCTTTTGAGTATTTAGGCTTAAAGAAGAAAAGAAGTACAGAGCTATAATTTCATAGCTATAACAAACTATCCCACTAGCTGTAAGGTCAAATCAATATTCTGAGCACCTCAGAAAGAAGAGACATGCACTTGTTCTAACAGCTAGCAATTTTACAACGCAGCATTACCGTCAGCTATCTTACGTCTAGCTATCTTGCAAAGTGCATGTGCACTCTTATTCACGCTAACCAATTAACAGGTTATGTAGTGTTACACTGTAAGTATATGAAAAAATGTCCTGATGTTGTTAAGAGTATAAACTGAGAGGCATGAAGTATCCAGTTTATCTAAGACATTAAGTTAATTACCTGACAATGCTGGTCTAGCTTACTGGCATTGAGGGTTCAAAATCTGAGCAGGGACATGCCTTGCCTTTCCACTTCAGAGTTGCCCTGCTCTGCTTGGACTATGTGTCACTCTTGCTTATAAGACCTATAGTGATGTACATGATGAACAGTCAGCAGTAGTTCTGTAGCCCTGAACTATCTTGGCATGTATGATCACCTAAAGCCACAAATGTTCCTGTTTTCAGTGTTTCCAGTTTCAGTGTTCAGTGACAGAACAACTCTTTTGCATATAGAAAACCAAGAGCTATTTCCTGGACTCTCCAGACAGACTATGAGAAAATCCTTGGCAAGTCTAGTTAAATATGGAAAAGATCCTTGTCTGAACCCCTAGATAGCCACTTTCAAACTCTTGTTGAGAGTATAGGAACAGGCTGCAATGCACATAAGACTGTGCTATGTGTTGTAACATACAACTAAAAAAGTGTACCCGCTGTTATCATATCTGGATGATACTTACTGGGAGGAAACTATATGAAAGCCCAAGCAATAGCTGATTACCAATAATCGAAATATTTTCTGTTGGCTCTGTATGTCTCCTAACCCAATGTGTTTCTTAGGTTTTGTGATATGGAGCGCTGGCAAATTCTCCTCTAATTTGCCAGGGATTGCTACCATGTTTGTACCCATCACCTGCACTTATTTCTTTCTTGTTTGCATTTGATGGTTCTCAGACCAGCACCAGGCCATGGATCAGCATTATGAGTAGCATACTCCACAAATCACCATTTTGTCTCATAAATCACCATTTTGGACTGTGACCACTCTCTCACTAACTTTAGCTGGTAGACTGTGAAGTGGGAAAGAAGCAGACCCTACATGAGGTCTGCCTACTCATGAATTAGGTCAAAACCTTAGAAACAACAGAAGCCAAAGCATGGTATTCAGGCTTTTGAGAACAGCAATAATTGCCAGGAGGAGAGGCTCTTTAGACTGAAGTATTTCTTTTGAGGTTGTTCCCTTCTTCTCAACACGACATTGCATTGTTTTGTCGCATGTTTCCATCATACTTTCTCTTTACAGACCGCCTCTGCCTGTTCCCATTACTGAACTCTATAATTTTCAGCTTGAAGACAAATGTCTCCCGTCATCTTTAAAGCTTTCTGTTTTTTGTTCCCCTCACCTCAGTTGCTATATGATTTGCACTTAGATGAAAAAGAAAAAAGTTATGGCTTGTGTTGAGACGTGCTCCATTTCTCCTAAGCTCCCTCGTTACTCATGTATCATTGCCAACCACACATTTGTTTGCCTAGCTTAACTCTTTTTGGGGGATCAGCTGCTTCAGTTTTCCAGTCTGTTTTGCAAAATGTTATATTACCCTAAAAGAACTGCTCAAGCTTAGCAAAAGAAAGCAGCGGTGGCAGTTTCTGCCAACTCTTCTGCTGCTTGCGGCAACACCAAAGAGGAGGCTCAAATGCCATGATGAAAATAAGTAAAAGAGAAGGCCTCCTCACCCCACCCCCTGCTATAATACAAATTAGAACATCCAAAATGTCAAGGGGCTGCTGGAAGGGGAAAATGTACAAAAAATGCCTGCTGATTTATTTTCAAATTTCCAGAAATAATGACTCTATGCTTCTAATAAGTAACCACAGATTTACAGCATAGTTTGTCAAAGTGAAGAGCATGGGGCACATGGAGCCCTTAAGACTCCACGTGTGGCTCAAGAAGCTTCTAAGAAGTCTCCTAAAGCTCCAAGACTTCCAATGTTTTAAATAGGTTGGTTTGGGGAAGATCTTTGCCCTCCAAAATCAGCTCAAGGCCTTCAAACAGTTCATAAACAACACTGTGATTCCCTTTCACTCCAATCATGGCTGGCAAGATTACTGAATAATTACAAGTAGGAGAATACTCTTCTTAGTGGGAATTATATGACCCCCAGTAGACCTAATCAGCAAGGACAATGATGAAGATAGAAACTGTATTTCAATAACATCGGAGGGCCATACAATCCCCATCCTTGCACTGAAATCAGTGGCATAATTTCGGTTTTTCTCAGTGATTCAGGAGTGCTACATCTTTTGACAGCAGAGGCATTCTAAAATGCAAAATATATAGCACTATATAAACTCAAAGGAAAAAAATCAATAGTATTTCATCAGTATACGAAGACTTGGTTCCAAAGATCACCTTCAATTTCATATAGCAAAGCAGAATTTATTTACATCTTCTCTGTTGAACTGTGCACAGGGCAGATCTTAGAACAGTTATTTTGTTGGGTTAGAACTCCCAGCATCTTGGAGATATCCTAGTCATTGATAGGGGCTGCAATCCAAAAAAGTGCTTTTACAAACTCTAGCGGAAGCCTCTTCTTTCCTAAGAGATTATTTACATGTCAGGATACATAATAAACTATTAGGGTTCTTATGCCTAAAATAAATCACACCAGTGTTTTTCAAACTATTTCTTTTGCCCTTTAAATAATTTTTAGCTTACTTAAAGCTCTCCTAAGGAAGTAAACAAACAAGAGACTGGTGGCTAGGTGCAAGGTTTAACAGCCACAGGAGCAAGCATTAGGAATGTGCAAAACTGCTTTGGCCACATTTGCCAATTATAAATTCAACTGAAGATGACTTCTTAAAGAAAGGATCATACCTGCTCAGGGGCTAAATTTCCTAATGGTAGCAGATCCTGTCTGATCTTGGAAGCTAAGCAGAGACAACCCATCAATGAATACCAGGTGTATTGTCTATGCACGAAACCACCTTTTCTAGCCTAATATTTCTGTGCAGAAATATTATTTTCTTAACAAAAGTGCTGTTTATTGTAGAAAATGCAATTCACTTGGTATAAAACACAACTGAACCAAGATCTCTTGATCTGTTAATTGTCTCTTTTTAACTTAATTTAATTCATGCTTCTGATTTCACACTTCAAAAATGTGTTAAAACCACAGAACACATCCCGGGATAATCAGTTGCATAAACATTGTGCCAAACTTTTATGTCTATCCATAAGTAACAGCTTGACCATAATGAATAGGAGATCCTGAAGTCTGTAGTTGCACAACCCTAACATTTTCCAGACTCTGGAGGTATAACACCCACATGCTCCTAATCCCAGACAATGTATAAGGCTGTCTGTATCCTGAGTTACCTGTTGCGAGGCAAAGCATTCAGGTATGGCTAACAAATCATTGTTTGATAGACATAAATATGGCTGGAAATGATTAACATGCCACCTACATTTTTGGACTCTCTTTGTGGACATGGCTATTGGTACTGTCATAATGAGTACCTACACTTCAGAATTTGCCACAAGGAAAAGAGATATTTTCCTATCACATTTCCATCAGACTTTGGGCAAAATACTCTCGGTGGGGCTCCCCTTCCTGAAACCTTCCTCACTCTGAACCCCTGCTACCATTATTAGATGTTTGTCTTGCATTCTCTGGGCATAGTTAATATATATCATATGGAAGCAAGTTGAGAATGCTGTTTCATGTCTTCATTCTTGGCTTGGCTTGCATGTGGAAAGAACAGAATGAGAGCAAGCACCACTAGGAAAAGAAGAAGCAGAGCCAAGATGCTCCAGGGCCCAGGAATTGGTCTGTTACTCAGTAGAGTGCCTTGGCAGGGTGCCCCCAATGCTGTCCTTGCTTTCAATGTAGCTAGGGTTCCTATATTTCAAGGCCAAGCCCTTCATCTCCATTCTCGCAGGAGGAGGAATCTTAAGATAACAGCACTTCCTTTAAAGCTGTCTATGTGTATATGTTTAATATAAATGTGTGTAGTGAGCATATGATGCACTTGAGTGCATTTGTACATGGGTATTAGGCTGAGATCCTGCACCAAACAGATAGCCACAATGTTATCCATGTGTTTTCACTCCTTTTTGGACCCATGAATCCCACCTTAAATTAAGCCAGTCAGCCATCAGAGTGACAGTGTTGCTGGTGAGTGCCACACTGCAATATGGCTTGATGCCGCGAGGATCAGAGGCAGGAACTCTTGCATGGCCCTGAAGAAACTTTTCTTCACAGCCAACCCACCAGTGAAACAGACCTCCTTCACTCTACACACCTGACTGGCTTTTAAGGTGAGTTTTAGGATACCGTATGTACTCAAGTATAAGCCGACCCAAATATAAGCTGAGGCACCTAATTTTACCGCAAAAAAAACCTGGGAAAATGGATTGACTCGAGTATAAGCCAAGGGTGGGAAATGCAGCAGCTACTGGTAAATTTCAAAATAAAAATAGATACCAATACAGTTACATTAACTGAGGCTTTGGAAGGTTACATGTTTTTGAGTATTTACATTAAACTGTAATTTAAGATAAGAC